ATTAATTATTTAATCTGACACATTCAGATTTAGATCATAACTCTGCCATGTAAACATTTAACAAACTTTGGTTCTTTTGTTGAGTAAAAATAAAAACATAAAAACGTGTTAATAAGCAACAGTTTAGAAGCTTTTCTGGAGCTAAAATCATTCTGGTGTCGATATTATCGGCCGATATCGGCTCATTGCAGACTGTTGGTATTTGGGCGGTGGCGGTCTGAATGTTAGATATGTGAACTTGTGACCGGAAGGGTGTCGGCCCAGACCGGCAGGTTAAAACTGGATGAAGTGAAGGATCAGCTGCCTTTGAGCGAGGCCCTTAACCCCGACTGCCCAGTGGCAGCAGAACCGAATGTGGTACTGGGCAGCTTCCGGGTGTAAATGATCAGGGTGTTCCTGCTAAAGAGAGGCGTCCTCTCAGTGAACCTTCCTGGAATAAATAAAGGTTAGTTAACCCAAACTTACATATTCTTCAATAAAGTTATTTATTTAAGACCAATAAACTGACCAACATCTGTAAAAGGAGAATTTATCGTATTCGTCTCAAAAGTTCCCACATTAGTTGATCTTTAACCTAAACTGACACCAGGGTTAAAACAATACTTTATCAGTACTTTCTGAGTTGTTTGGGGCAGCAGTACGTGGGATAAAGATACGTCTCTCTTCAACAGAAACCTGAACTGAACGCGAGTGAACCGTATAGTTTGTTCAGGAAGACATGTGAGCAGTTCGAATGCTTCACACCTCACTTTAACCTACAATTACCTCCAGGGCAATTCCAGCAAACAGGGCGAACAGGTTACAGCCTCCCTGTGGGTGTGAGTCTCTGCTATTGTCAGACTTCAGGTTGACGTTCGTCGTCTCTGGATAAACACACAGAACAGGGAACCCGTTCTCAACCCAGGTTGTCAAGTGAGACGCAGCAGTTTAACACGTGGCTGAGGTTGTTCAGCAGTCGCTGTTTGTTCAGGTTTATTCACAAATCCTTTTATTTTGATCCGCCTGCTTTACAATGACAGAAAGGGCTAATGAGAGCCAATGTTGTGTAAAGTGTGTGTTTACATCCTCTGATTATTAATTGTGATTGGTAGAATAGAAACAACATGCATGTTCTCATACAGCGATGTAATGACGTGGTTATATGGTTGCTCTACACTGCAAGTGTAGCTACTAATTACTCATGTCAGTCCAACAGTCCTGTTCCTGTTGGTTGGTGCCACACTGGAACCAGGTTTCTGGGCCAAGAGCCGGTTCTTGGTTCAGGATTAGGTACTGGCTCCAGACTGGCCCTCAGACTGCCTTGGCGAGAAAGAGGTACCGAAGGCTTCAATAAAACTGGCACCGAACAGCATTAGTGTTGGTGTTTTAGTTTTCTCCGAATGCAGCCAGACTGGTACCGAGCTCCTGAAGGTGACTCAGAAACATTCTCGCTTCTTGTCCAAACCTTAACCGCTAACAGCTGCTAGCTCCAGCACAACACAATCCCTTCAACAAGACACACTTCTGTGCTCCCGCTGTATGGAAAGGTAATTAAGGTCACGCTCGACCTGCAGCTGAACTGATTTACAGCCTCGCATGTCGAGGAAAAGATCCACCGATGGAAGAGCTCCGAGGGGGAAGCAGGAGGAGGGAGCTGAAATATTGACTGAGCGGTGATGCCACCATGCACAACACTGACCCACATTCCCATCTGTAACACAGACCGGTCCTCCTAAACACACAACAGTCCCACTCAGCCACGGCTCAGTCGAGTCAGAGGTTGTTGTGTAAGTTTGACAAACTATTGGGGCCAATATTGATTATTTTTATGAACTTACAGCCTTCTGGCTTCAGTTCAGAGCTGAAACTGTTCGATGATTAACTGATTTTCATACTTGATTAATGGTTAAAGTCTTTTTTTTGTTTCAAGATAAACTGCCAACGATTCACCAGTTCCAGCTTCCCCCCATTGTGTGTCTGTTTTAAATCACTGTAAACTGATTATCTTTGAGTTTTGGGCTGTTTGGAGCATCCGCACTCTCAAATCTGTGGAAAAAATCTTATTTATTTTCAGGGGCGTCTCCAGAGGGGGATGGACATCTGATTGGCCACCCCAACTGCCACCCAATTATCTCTTTCAGAGGCTGCAGCTGTTTTAAAGCTACGACGACCTAACGTGTCCATTGAATATATCAATAATAAAATATCTGAATGAAAATCTGTTCTGTGGGTTTCCCCTTTACAGACAGGCTAATCTTTATGCTAATCTAGATCAGTTTTGGGCAAAAACACACTTTTGAAAGTTATTTTTCACCTGGTGTGTTTGAATATTTCTCCACAAACAGTGTTCGAATTCCATAAACTGGGAATAAATGGAGAGCTGAGACACAATGAAGAGTGTAAACGCTACTGTAGCAGTTAAATCTGAGCCTGGATGAACTCGCTTTATATTCCTCTACTGTTGGTCAAACACCAACAAGACATTTGAAGACATTTCGTTCGCATGAATTCTTCTAACAGGGATGATAAACAAAACCACAAACATCAGCTGCAACACATCGTAATTATCCATCAGATCAGAGATAGTTTGAATAAATATCAGGAAGCTTCAAAGCCGCCGTGTAAAGACAGTTAATATGTCGGCTGAGAGAGAGAACTTAAGATAAATTAAGTTTGAGAATGAATGAATCCATTAAAGCTCCCTGCAGTCAGACATCCGTGTTTGTTCTTGTTCCTACAGTCTGATGTTTGAATTATATGTGTGCAGAGTTTGACTCTAGAAGGATGATTTCACATTCAGCTGCTGACAGAAGAAACTTTCTGAGCTCATTGAACGTCACATTTTAAGAGGGATTTGTGACATCCCAAATAGTTCAGGAAGTCAATCCTGGTCCAGTTTGTAACTGAGACAGTGAGATCCACCAGAGCACCGACACTGAGACTCTACAGAGCAGGAGGAACAACAACAGCACAACTTATTAATATTTCATAGATTCAGTAATGTTTAATGAGGCACGAGTGAGTGGATGACCTTTTATGTCAGACACATTACTGTTCCTAACCGACTGTTTGACGACTCTGTCAAGTTAAAGTAATCAGACAAAGTTTATACAGAGTCACATGAAGTGGTGTGAAGCAAACTCAGAGGTGTGATGACGGAAGGTGTCACGATGAATATTTCTCATTATTGAACCATTTATTTTGAGTTAAATGACTCTTGTATTGTTTTTTTTTTTTGTATGTTTTAATTCCCAATCTTATTTTAGATACTTATACTTATTTTAGACTTTTCCTCCATTTATCTGTATTTATTTACTGCACCATCAGCTGAATCTCACTCTTATCTTATCATAGACCGAAAGATAACTTAATTAATCATTAATAGATAATGAATGTTGTTGCTTTACTTTACTACCAAAAAACAGTCTGAAAGTCCCGCAGTCAACTTTTATTTTCTCACCACATGTTCTTCCTTTCAGATCTTTAAATGAAGCCAGTGTCGAATCACAGACTTTGACTTTAACAGAGTGAAGTTTGGAGAGTTTTCGTGTCCCAGGAGGTTTTAAAATCAGCGGTTCCCACAACTGGAGCCAGGTTAACACAAACTTATGTTTATCTCTAAGACACTCCTCTAATCTTTCTCTTTTTCGAGTCAAATATGGGATTGTTTTACCTTCTAAAATTAAAATAAAGACAAAGATTACAGTGTTGACTTCACAACCAGGAGACACAATCAGCCTCATGGGAGCAAAACGCACTTTAAACTTTTAAAAAGGCATGAAAGTAATCAATCAACACTATCTTTAAATACTGGCTGCAAGAGCTGATATCTGTCAGCAGTGAAAATGTGTTTGGGACAAAGTCCAACAAAGTTTATTTAACTCTACCTTCAGTTTCTGTTTCTGCACCAAACTACATTAAAAAAACGGCGGATTTAAGCTCAAACAGAACTTTAAATAAGTTCTGATAAACTTTGAGTTTCAATCTGAGATATAAAATAAGAACATTTCAGTTCAGTTTAACTTTGCCTGAACTTCACTCTGATGATCAACAAAGGTGTATTTATTATAGCAAATGATCAATTAATCAATGATAAATAAAGAATGAAAAATGAAAAAGTAAATAAAATAAAAATGAATAAAGATAACTCTTATCCTAGCTGCAGCTTTACCAGCCTGGAGTCTGTAGCTTTATTTCTCTGCACATGTTGTTCCTTCTAGGTCTTTAGCTACAGACTAAAGTTGAATCCCAGACTCTGTCTTTTATTGGGTAAAGTTCGAAGAGTCTTTGTGTCCCAGGAGGGTTTAAATCGGTGGTTGTTGCAGGCTGATATCTGTCAGCAGCTTTGTGTGAAAATGTGAGCACAGAATCCAGTCTGGGGACAAAGTCTGACAAAGATTATTTAACTCTTCATTTAGTTTCTGTTTGCACCAAACTCCATTCAAAAAAGGGCTGTTTTTAGCGCAAAAAGAAGCGTGTTTGTCTGACACAGTGCTGATGAACTTTGAGTTAATCACACTTTAGTTTAAATCAGATAGAAAATAAGAGCATTTCAGTCCAGTTTCATTTCTACCTGAGCAGCTCATAAAGTTACACGAGGTTTATGTTCTGCACTGCTGCAACTGCACTTTCTGTTCGCACCAAACTACATTAAAAAAACTGCTGTTTTAAGCACAGATAGAAGAGTCTTTGCAAAGCTTTAAACAAAGTGGTGTTAACCGTTGAGTTGTTCACAGGGAGACATAAAGAACAGTTCAGCCGAGTGGAAGAGCTCATAAAGCGGACTGATAGTGGATCCTTCAGCCTTAGACATCATGCACACATGCGCCACATCACCAGCTCTTAATCTGCCCCCCCCTCCAACAAACTCCTGATCAATCACCAAACTGATAATCAATCTGAACCCGATCACCCGAGCAGCCGCACGCGCCTCGTGTTGTAAAAAAAAAAAAATGCAAGAAAGCATAAATGAAAAGAAAGAAGCAGTTGAAGTTAAAAAGTCTCAGATGGAGTTTACTTACGCGGGTTCTGCGCACAACTGCGGAGAGAAGTCGTTTTGTTGCGGGTCCTGTGCGGGTCCTGCT